GCAGCGGCCACTACACTCCAGTCTGGGCTACAGAGTGAGACTCCAACTCAAAAATAATAATAATAATATGCTAATGGTAATTTTTTTGGAGTTGGAGTTGGAGTTGGACTCTCATTCCGTCGCCCAGGCTGGAGTGCAGTGTCACGCTCATGGCCACCCTAGCATCGACCTGCTGGGCTCCAGAAATCCTTCCGCCTCAGCTTTCCAAGTAGCCAGAACAACAGGCAGGCGTTACCACGCCCAGCTAATTTTTGATTTATTGTACAGACGAGGTCTCGCCAAGTTGCCCAGGCTGGTCTGAAACCTTGGGCTCAGGCAATCCACTCGCCTTGGCTTTCCAAAGTGCTGGGATTACAGGCTGAGCCACTGAACTCGGCCAACTAATGGTAATTTTAAAGCTCAGTTTTGTTAAGGACTGTGACTACTGTTTGACCAGTGTCAGTGGTCACTTCTTGACCAGAAGACACTTTTAGACACTTTTAGATAATAACAAGCTCTATTATCTAAAGGACCTAGAAGAATATCAATACAGAGAGAGCCACAAGGTTATCTTATGAGACAGGTGGAGATATTGGTAACGAGATCCTCACTTTTAGGGGCACATACATGTGAAAAGTCACATCTGAGTGAGCATCCCGTCAGTCCTGAAAACTCAGCTGTTCCCTTTCAAACCCAGCCTAATATAAACTAGGCTGAGCCGGGCTCGGTGGCTCAGCCTGTAATCCCACGCCTTTGGGAGGCTGAGGTGAGTGGATTGCCTGTGCCCATGGGTTCGAGACCCGCCTGGGCTGGCAAGACCTCATCTCTACAATAAAATCAAAAAATTAGCCGGGCGTGTGCCTGTAATTCCAGCTACTCGGAAGGCTGAGGCGGAAGGCTCGCTGAAGCCCAGAAGGTCAAGGCTGCGGTGGCTGGGAGCAGCCACTGCACTCCAGTCTGGGCGACAGAGTGAGACTCCAACTCAAAAAAAAAACAAGGCTGGACAACCAATGAACATAATCAGAGTTATGGAATACACAGTATGATTACTAGGATAACTCCCCAAAATTTGATCTGAACAAACTTCTCATCCATCATGCTCAGCCCTCTCAGTCTGATCGAATATATTCCTGGATATCAAGAATATTCCTGAAGTCAGTGCTGTGAGAAACAGGGATCAGATGGAAGACATGCTAATAGGCCTTTGGGCCAGCTTTAGGGCAGGCCAGTCCCTCAATTGCAGAAAGAAATTAAAAGTAAAAATCTCCCTATAGCTCCAACCCAAAGAAGATTGTTTTTCCTTTCCATTACCTTGTATTTCTTCCTCTATTCCTAGTTTTCTCTTCTGTTCCTTATGTTAATTCCTTCCTCCAGGCTCATTTTTTTCCAGGCTTGGGTCACATCTTATATACAGTGATTTCTTTTCACGGCACTCCTTGGTTCGTTTTATTGTTTTTAGATGCTATATTGATTCACAGAAGTAACTAGTATGGGATTCTTCATTCCCCAGAATGTGTGGGCTGACTGCAAGTTCAGTACAATCGGGCAGCTATTGCCACAATTATTATAATTCTATGATAAAAACACCTATTGCTACAATTATTATAATTCTATAATAAAACCACCTCCCCTCATCTTGATATTTAGAAACTGCAATGGTACAAGTGGCATGACAATTCTTCAGTTCCTTGAATAGTGATTTCCCTTCTCTTAGAGGGGAAGAATTGTCAGTGGCCAGTTCTTTAAACAATAAATTCATTTAAAAGTTGTCAATAAGCCGGGATCCGTAGCTCAGCCTGTAATCCCATGCTTTGGGAGACTGAGGTGAGTGGATTGCCTGAGCCTGCGGGTTCAAGACCCACCTGGGCAAATTGGTGAGACCTCATTTCTACAATAAATCAAAAAATTAGCCGGGCGTGGTAGTACACACCTGTAGTTCCATCTACTTGGAAGGCTGAGGCGGAAGGATCGCCAGAGTCCAGCAGGTCGAGGCTGCAGTGGCCGGAAGTGGCCACTGTACTCCAGTCTGGATGCCAAAGTGAGACTCCAACTCAAAAAAAAAAAAAAAATTGTCAATAAACAAAAACAGACTTTATCTTGCCCTTCGCATTTCCTTTCTAGTTCTTAGTTGGAGAATATTCTCAGACAGCGAAAACTTCTTATTCAGTTTAATGAGATGACATGCAAAATGAATTAAGAATGAGCTATGCAGAATTGTCAAACTTCTTAAAGCTTCAAAAATGCAAATCCAGCCATTACTTTTGTTAAGCTCTGACCCAGCCATGCTTCCATTGAACTATGGGGAGGCCATGCTTCTCTTTAAGCTCTGGTCCCCTCCCCAATCTGGGGGAGGTGGATCCCCTTTTTCTCTCTCCAATATACTGTCTAAATAAATGATATTTTCCAGCCTAAAAATAAAAGCAAAATATGCAAATCCTACACTCCCATAAACCTACAGGCCTATTATACTACTAGATAATCCATCTAAACTTTGTCAGTCTTCTCTGACAAACTGGAGACCTAACTTTTTTTTTTTTTTTTTTTTTTTTTTTTTT